TCCACAAACATAATAGAATTGCCACAAAAGGAGTACGTTTTTTTTAGTATAACCTCTAGTAACATGACCGAACATTATGGTGGGGTCAGCGTAAACATATATACATATATATATATACTACTACTACTGATAATTTATCTATCTTTAAGTTCAAGAAGTGTATATAATATATATATATCTTATATATAAAATTCTCGTGTCACAGTTTTCGTTCCCATACTCCTCCGAAACGGCTTCACCGATTCTCATGAAATTTCGTGAGCGTATTGAATAGGTCAGAGAATCGGCCAACATCTATTTTTCATCCCCCTAAATGTTAGGGGTAGTCCACCCCTAATTTTTTTTTTATTTTAAAGCAAAACAACGTTTGCCGTGTCAGCTAGTAATAATAGAAAATGACATAATATCAGTCATATAAATGAAAAGGCATACAACATTTAGGGGGATTTTTTTTTATTTTAAGGCAAAACAATGTTTGCCGGGACAGCTAGTAAATATATATATAACTCAAAGTTGACTGACATAGTGATCTATCAACGCACAGCCCAAACCACTGGACGGATCGGGCTGAAATTTGGCATGCAGGTAGATGTTATGACGTAGACATCCGCTAAGAAAAGGATTTTGATTAATTCTACCCCCAAAGGCATAAAATTGGGGATGAAAGTTTATATAAAACTTTATAAATTTTAATCCGATCGGGCTGAGACGATGCATGCATAAAGCTACTATGACGTAGGCACCCGCTAAGAAAGGATTTTGATAAATTCCACCCCTAAGGGGTTAAATTAACGCGAGCGAAGCCGCGGGCAAAAGCTAGTTTCATATAAGAGAACGTTGTAACCTAGTGGTCAAAAGAGCAACGCAAATTTATTGCTCGTTCTTTTTGTGATGAGTTTGCGTTCCGAATAAGTGGTATATATACAGAATTGCCACAAATAGGAAGACGTTTTTTTTAGTATATCTTTTTGTAACATGAACACTACGCTGGGGTCAGCGTCGGGTTAGCGAGGGTTAATTTTAGATCGGTCTCATCTGTACACGTCAAATTACTGTGGGGTACACTTACGTGTATTTGAGATGCGTGCCAGGTCAACGGTTCAATTAAATATAACTATCGTGGTACACAATTTAATGGAATTAGAGGAGGCCTTTGCCATAAGGCACTCTGTACTGCGGGATATAATATAGAAAAATGAAATTAATAATTAAACATAAAAAAAAAATTAAACTACTTAAGAAACAATAATAGTAAAAAATATATATAATAATAATAAATTTATAGTATAATATAATAATATGAAGAATAGGAATGTAGAAAAAAAAATGTATAATAGTACAGAAATAAAGGCTTCTTTATCTTTATCTATTGTGGTACACAGTCCACTTCTTTAAATTATTAACCGGGTCTTAACACGAATAATTGTATGGTAAATAAAGGTATTTACCTCTCTCGACGTTTCGTCTAGGTTGCGACACACAGCTCTCACGGTGAGTGCTGTGTGTCGCGAACTTTCGTTGAACAATCTAGTGACGGTAGATGAAGAAACTGCTGTCACCTATCTACATTGACATCGCTGTTACTCCAGTCAGCTCGTGACCACGGCTAGTGCAACCTAGTCGAAACGTCGAGAGAGATAAATACCTTTATTTGCCATACAATTATTCGTATTAAGATCCGGTTAATAATTTAAATAATGTATATTTAACACGAAAGTTTAAAATTGTGAAACCGGCTACTTGTTTAGTTTATGTTCTGTTTTAGGCTTCATATTTAGAATACTAAATTCTATTGCAAGTTGCCACTTGTTTCTATTATTCCTTTTGGTTCCCTTGCTGGTCTTAGTAGTGTTTCTTTGTCATCATTACATAGTATAAAACAGAATCGCTATCGCTGTCTGTCCCTATGTGTATATTAAATTATCTATCTTTAAAACTACGCAACGCATTTTGAAGCAGTTTTTTTTAATAGTGATTTTAGAAGGAAGGTTTATAATACATGTACACCCGTGCAAAGCCGGGGCGAGTAGCTAGTATAGTAATAATAATCTCAGGACAATTTACACAACGCCATCTAGACCCAAGTTGGGCTAGTTAAAGCTTGTGTTATGGGTACTAGACAACTGATATAAATACACATATACATAGATTTTTTTTTTGTAAATATTATACATAGAAAACACCCAGAGCGATACAAACAATCATACTCATGAATACAAATGTTTGTGCCGTGCGAGGAATCGAACCCGCGACCATCGGATGTAAGGCGGTGTGCTAAACCGCTAAACCACCGAGGTCGTCAAATATATTATACAAAGATATCTCTTGTTGCTTGTGAGGAGTGGTCTGTTCGGGTTACGAACACTGATTAGACTATTTGCTTTTGACAAAATTGCAATAGCATATGCTGGTGGTCACTCTATTCTCCCAAATTTGAATTAAAAAATGAATTTGTATTATTGTAAACATGTACAACCATATTTGAAAAGAATACAAGCTGAGTTTCTTTTAAATTCTCAACTCGTAAGCACTCTGAACTGACGGTAGATTTTTTTTTATGGATGAGAAGAAATGATGCACCCGCCTGCGCTAACGGTTTACGCTGTCGGGGCACCAGTGGAGGATGATAAGTTGCCATTAAATAGAAAAAAAATTTAAGTGTTGAATTCCCCTAACATTTAGGGGGATGAAAAATAGATGTTGGCCGATTCTCAGACCTACTCAATACGCTCACAAAATTTCATGAGAATCGGTCAAGCCATTTCGGAGGAGTATGGGAACGAAAACTGTGACACGAGAATTTTATATATAAGAAGATCACCGCTTTACGTCCGATGGTGGCGGGTTCGATTCCTCGCACGGCACAAACATTTGTATTCATGAGTATAATTGTTTGTATCGGTCTGGGTATGTTCTATGAATAATATGTATGTATTTACGAAAAAAAAAATCTATGTATTTATGTCAGTAATCTTAGTACCCATAACACAAGCTTTAGGTAGCTTAACTTGGGTCTAGATGGCGTTGTGTGAATTGTCCTGAGATTATTATTATTAAAAAAAGATGTAGTTTTAACAGAACAAAAATGTTTTCAGGTTTGATCCCTAATCGAGAGTGAAAGAGAGATATATTCCTGACCTTTTCTAATATCACATGACCTGTGTATAACAGTCTCTTGAGGCGTAAGCTTATAAACTTTCCCAATATCGACTGCCAAGCAATACTTGGCTATTTCAGTAGATCGGTCGAGGCTGTTTTGTCATTACTTACAAGATTGATGGAGTTTTATGTTATGCGATCAGAATGTGGTATAAACAAGGTACGTTTGGAAATGGGAAAATATGTGGTAACTTAGAACGTTCAATTGGTGAAGCTGTAATTGGATATTTTATAAATTAGTGCATAGTCCAGTGGTTATTGTTACGATCCGCAAAGGTTGGGAGTTCGAATGTAGTCGATGGCAAAATACTTTGTGTGTTGCTTTGTATTATTTAATGGCCGTTCCACGACTTCGTCAGCGTGGAAATAACTTTATTTTTCTAAAATAATAATAATAATAATAATAATAATAACCTGGACATTTCAGTACAGCACCATCTCAGACTTACAAGATTGATGGAGCTAAAGCTTGTGTTATGGGTACTAGATAACTGATACAAATACATAGATATTTTTTTTTCGTAAATACATACTTAATATACATAGAAAACACCTAGACCGACACAAACAATCATACTCATGAATACAAAATGTTTGTGCCGTGCGAGGAATCGAACCCGCGACCATCGGACGTAAAGCGGTGTGTTAGACCGCTAGACCACCGAGGTCGTCGGTCGGTCGTCGGTCGGTTTTCTAAAATAAAAGTAGCCTAAGTTACTCCTTATTACATCAGCTACCTGACAAAAAAAGTTCCGTCAAAATAAATCCAGCCACATCAGAGATTAGCCGGAACAAACAGACCGACAGACAGACAGATAAAAACTTAGGCTAAGTACTACTACTACTTATTACATCAGTTACCTGACAAAAAAGTCCCGTGAAAATCGGTCCAGCCACTTCAGAGATTAGCCGGAACAAACAGACAGACAGACAAAAATTGTAAAAAATGTTATTTCGGTGTATGTACCGTATTTATATTCATATGCATGTAGTAAATAACGGTTATTTCAATATTACAAACAGACATTCCAATTTTATTTATATGTATAGATTTATTATTCAAAAGTGTTTAAATTAGGTTTACTTGAATAAAGAAAGAAAGAAAAAGGATTTTCGATTCTAGTGATTTCATTTTATTATATATCTAACTGACTATTGAAGAAGTCTATATATATAATAAAAGATTATGTAATCGCTGTCTGTACATATAACATATAATTAAATTAAAAATCCTGGACTGTTCAGAGCACATGCCATCCCAACCTACGTAGAGCTTGTGTTATGGGTATTAGATCACCAGTAAAGATTGTTGGGGAGTCCGTTTCTACACAGGGGAGCAGTTGTGAGGGGAAAGAAGCTGTTCTAATTCTCAAATCCCCTTGTTGGGAAGCATAGTCTTATTAGTTTTTGAGTTGTTATTTTTTTTTGTAAATATATACACAATATTACGTATATTGGAACTAATGATTAATAATAATATCAGGACAATTCACACAGCACCATCTATACTCAAGTTAAGCTAGCTACAGCTTGTGTTATGGGCACTAGGTAACTGATACAGATACAGAGATATTTTTTTTTCGTAAATACATACATATTATACGTTCGATGACAGAATCATGCTCTCGCTCTTTTCACTAGTTAAATTCTTCTAACTCGAGTTGGTAGAATTCAACTCGAGTTAACTCGAATTATGCACAGCTCGAGTTAGTAACTCGAGTTGATACATCTCTAAAATGATGTGCTAAACCGGTAGACCATCGAGGTCTAAAAAAACCCACTCAGACCACTTTGTTTAAAGTCTTTGATAAACAGGTTTCTAAGTTTAGAATTTGTTACAGAGGAATTGAGCGGTATCTTCGTGAAGAGTATAAGTGAAGGCAGCTCTGCAGACCTCTGTGGCAGAATACAAGTCAACGATCGCATTGTTGAGGTAAGAACGAAAGAAAGAAAGAAAGAAAGAAAGAAAGAAAGAAAGAAAGAAAGAAAGAAAGAAAGAAAGAAAGAAAGAAAGAAAGAAAGAAAGAAAGAAAGAAAGAAAGAAAGAAAGAAAGAAAGAACGAAAGAAAGTAAGAAAGAAAGAAAAAAAGAAAGACAGAAAAATATTTTATTCAGTGCAATGTAAAAAATACAATATAAACAACAAATGTAAGAACTAATGTTGACGTGAAATTGCTACTTCCACCGACCCAATTCGTCGGAGACGAGCTAAATGGAGGGGGGATGTTCCCCTCCCTCGGCAAGGGCCAGGGGCGGCTGCTCCCCTGTCGACATTGCAGCCTTGAGAAGGTGCGAGCGTGTACCCGTGCTACTTCTCCTGAAGAAGTGTAGTGACCAGTCTACTGAGATGGGTCCCCTCCGACGGAGCTGCCGAAGAATGCTCGCGTACACTCGGAGCTCCAGCTATAAGCAGTAGAGGTGCACCTTGGGGTTTTAGCTGGTAGGAGTCCGCCAGTATCCACTCGTTACCCCTGGAGCGGGCGGTCTCCACGACGGATTTCCCCAAGAAAAAAAAACTAATGTTAACTTACTACAACTGAATTGATCTGCGACACCCCTATATTTATATGTGTTTACAAATTCAAATTCAAATTTAAAAATCATTTATTCGTGTAGGACATTTTAGCCGCTTATGTACGTAAAATTTGTTATATTTTAATTTTTTCCTTACCATCCAGTTCGGTATATATGTAGATCCAATTGAGAAGAACTGGCAAGAAATTCAACTTGCCAGTTCTTTATATGGGTATATTTATATATGTCTAAAATTAAATGAAAATCCCGTGCATGAATAACTATTGCCATGCACACTCGTCATTCAAGTAATCGTTTAGTGACTTTGCTCAATAAATATGATTTAACAGATGTTTTGAATTCATTTAAAAGTCTCCTGTTTACAGAAGAAAGATTCCTCGATATATGTTCAAAAATGACGATGTTCTATACAAACTTTCATCCCCTATTTTATACTATATTTCTCAGAGTCTAGACTACCTGTGTTTCAAATTTCATTTAAATCGGTTTAGTAGTTTTGGCGTGAAAGCGAGACAGACAGAGTTACTTTCGCATTTATAATATTAAGAATTGCCACGTTATAAATATATGTAAAAAATATAAAAAAAAAAATGTTAGAGTTGACAACCCTTGTCACTTAGGGGTGTGAAAAATAGATATTTCAGCGAACAATGATAGTGACAAGAAGTCAAAAGTGACATATAAAAAATAGACATTAAAAATATAAAGTTTATAAAAAAAATGGTAGATAAGCTGCCAGCTGGTAGACAAAGCAAGCTGACAAATATATCTTATATATAAAATTCTCGTGTCACAGTTTTCGTTCCCATACTCCTCCGAAACGGCTTGACCGATTCTCATGAAATTTTATGAACGTATTGAGTAGGTCTGAGAATCGGCCAACATCTATTTTTTATCTCTCTAAATGTTGGGGATGGACTACCCGTCTATCCCTAAATTTATTTTTTATTTTAAGGGACAACAACGTTTGCCGGGACAGCTAGTATAATATAAACAGATAAATAAAAATAAAGTGTCTGTATGTAATTTCAAATTAACAGTTTTTCATTAAATGCATAGGAAAGTAAATACGGTACATATATAAAAAAATTATTTTAAAAAATACGTTCTGTCTGTTTATGTTAATCACTGAGCGGGCTGGACTGATAAAATACAATAATAAAAATATTTGTTAGTGGTATCTCTGGGCCGATTTTGATGGGACTTTCACTCGCACATAGCTAATGTTATAAGTCGTAATTTTATTTTATTTTAATAAAAAAAGAAAGTAATATCCCTACGATTAAATTTTGAGATTAAACATAATACAGTTTATATTCACGCCAATTTAAATCTATTTAGTCGTTACAGGTAAAAAACAAACGGACAGATATATTTCCTCATTTATATATTTTAGTACTGAGCATAGTGTTCACATATGTATTTCTAATTCAACAAAAAAGCACGTAGCGGGGGAGCGTTGGCAGCTGGGACTACATCCTTGACCTGGTTGCAGCCAGGCGAGACATGAGATGTGGCTAAATCTGATTGTTTAAGAAAATATATGTTACATAGTTATATTATATAAAAATACACATACAGACAGCCCCGGTGGTATAGCGGTTTAACCCACCGCTTTATTTCCGAAGGCCGCAGGTTCGATTCCTCGCGCGGTTCAAACATTTGCATTCATGAATATTAATTATGTATTTACAAAAAAAGTATATATATGTATTTATATCGTTATCTAGTCTAGCTTGGGTCTATACCCAAGATGGCGCTGTGTGAATTATTCTGAAATATTATATTATTACTGTAAAATTTCGTCAAAATCCGGCCAGTAGTTTTTTGTGAATGAGTATTTAACAAACATCCATCCATACAAACATTTACGTTTATAATATTAGTAAAATATTAACACTAGTTGTTACCGGCGATCTTGTTTGTTTTTAATAAAAAAACTGCTCTTACAGCATACCACGGATATGTTGCTTCTGTACTTAGGTATGGTTTAATTGTATGGGGCAATTGTACTCTGGTCAACAGAGTTTTTATAACTCAGAAGAAATGCATCAGAGCGATAGCCAATTTGAAACAGACAGATTCATGTCGGCCCCTATTTAAAAAATATAAATTGCTGACCCTATCTGGTTTATATATTCATCAGTGTAGTTGTTTTGTGAAAACACACCCTGATCTATTTAAACTTAAATCTAATAATCCCTTACTTAGACCAAGAGACCCAACACGATTGTTAAAACCAATATATAGAAGTGCAATCTTTGAAAAAAATAGTCACAACATGATGATTAAAATTTACAATAAATTACCAACTGACATAAAAATGCAAAATTTTAGACTTTCTAAATCTAGACTTTATAATTGGTTATTAGAAAATTGTTTTTATAGTATTAAGGATTTTTTTGACATGTAAAATTGTTAGTTTTGACATATTTTAATATATAAATAAATTAATTTAATTATTAGAAATACTTTAAAAATTAATTCAATTCAATTCAAATTCAATTTATAAAAGTAATAACGTGTATAAATTTTGCACGCCTGTTAGCAGGCTGAATATATTGAACGAATATTCATACTGTAAGACCTACTTGTAACATTGTATTCTGCAAATAAATAAATAAATAAAATAAATAAATTTATTGGCGCAAAATATACCATAGTGGTAACAATATACCCAAAAGTGTACCCGTAATGTACAATCTTCTTTCCAGTCTAGGTGGTTTACCACACTTTGTTCTTTAATCTCACACATGCTAATGGTAGCAAAATTACCATGTGTGAGATTCCAAACATTCAGTGCGGAAACGAGGAATCGAACCCGCGACCATCGGACGTAAAGCGGTGTACTAAACCGCTAGACCACCGAGGTCGTCAAATAGTAATATAGCTTATATCAGGATAACACATAGGCTATGATTTAAAAATGTAAATTGGGCGATATATGCTAAAAAATGATAAGTAAGTGTGAAGCAGAGAAATTGGAGTATTTCTTAAGGGTCGGCAATGCGCATGTGACACCCCTGGTGTTTCAGGCGTCTATAGGCTACGGTGACCATCAGATGGGCCGTATGCTTATTTACCACTTACATGGTATAAAAAAAATCCGCTAGTATAAAACAAATGTTTGCTGTTAGGTGTATATACGGCCTCCTCACCGATTACGATTTTATATGTAATAGTAGTTGTTATCAATATACTGATTGATACTATTGTAAAAGAAAATTATAAAAGGTCAATAGAATTCTTCTGCTGCAAACGTACATATCATTTACTATTTAACACATAAGAACACAAAAGAACCACAATAGTTGCATTTAATCAGCAACTTAAAAAAACCAGGTCAAGTGCAGCCCTCGCCTCGTACGCCAGTCGCATACTGAATTTCAAATACAGTTCTCCAACTTACTACAGTTGTGTGTTAGTTTGTGACGTCGTATATATTAAACTTTGTTTTGAGTTCGGTCGTTGTTTCCAGGAGTTAAACTGAAATTTACAATATATACTAATATTATACAAGACAGAGTGTATCTGTATGTTTGTTACCTTCTACTGAACAGCTGAATTGTGATACTAATGAAATTTAACGTAGAGACGCAAGAAAAGAGCATTTTATCCAGAATTTTGACATATACGTGACTACTTTTATCCTAGACAAAGTCGCCGGAAATGGGTAGTATTATACAAAATAGGACTCTATTGATTGCAATGATATTTCAATAAAAATATTACCACGGAGGTGGTTGTTAAATTGCCAGCCACGTGCTTCGAGATTATATGCAACGTGCTAAGAATTCTATGCAACGTGACACATAAATCAGGATATTTTTATAGAAAACTAGCTGTACCGGCAAACGTTGTTTTGCCATATAAATTAATAACGCTATAAAAATAGGGGTTGGTGATAGAAGGGTGAAAATTTAGGGTTGTGTATTTTTTAAAAAAATTAAATAAAAAGTTTTGCCCAAAAAATAAAAAAATAATGTTAGGGGTGGACAACCCTTTTCACTTAGGGGTAGGAAAAATAGATAGTAGCCGATTCTCAGACCTATTGAATATGCATATAAAATTACTTAAAAATCGGTCAAGCCATTTCAGAGGAGTATGGTAACTAACATTGTGACACGAGAATTTTTACAGCGTCATCTAGTCCCAAGCTAAGCTGAGCTTATTTTATAGGTCCTATATAACTAATATAAATACTTAAATTATTGCTTGTAAATACCTATATATTATACATAGAAAACATCTAGAGTAAATACAAATAATCATACTCATGAAAAAAATGTATGTACCGTGCGAGAAATCGAACCTGCGACCATTCTTTTTTCCCAGACGAAGACGCTAGCAAATAGTAGTATTATACAAATCAGGATACAATGCAGTGATGTCTCCAATAATGATATTACCACGCACGTAGTTGTTAAATTGCCAGTCACGTGCTTACGAGATTATATGCAACGTGCTAAGAATTCTATGCAACGTGACGCATAAATCAGGATATTTTTATTGAACGTGACACAGCAGGATGTAATGCATTAATATTTTTAATATTATAATATAAATTTTTGATACAGATATAGAATCATTATTCATATAAAACAGGACTTATTAAAATTAGCCAAATATGCTTATACTCAATTCAAATTCAAAATATCTTTATTCATGTAGGTCTATTACAGACTCTTATGATATGTCAAATCTACAGTCAGTTCGGAATGATTTCGATGAGAAGAACTAACAAGAAACTCAGGTCGTATTCTTTTCAAATAAATGTTGTAATGTTTACAAATTCAAGTTCAAATTCAAAATATCTTTATTCATGTAGGTCTATTACAGACTCTTATGATGTCAAATCTACAGTCAGTTCGGAGTGTTTTCGAGATGAGAAGAACTAACAAGAAACTCAGCTCGTATTCTTTTCAAATGAGTACATGATTAAAGAAATATAGATTATTATTTTTAATCCAATTAGGAAGGATGTAGTGACTCTCGGCATCCATATGATAGTTAATTATATATTCTAGTATTAAAATCACAAATTTTCGCCATTACGGCCCTACAACACTTTATACTTTTACCCAAAGGTTAGCTGATAGAGAATACCATATGATATTAAGCTCGCTCTTGTACACTCTTTAAAGTGTAATAAAGAATAAAAAAAAACTTAGATAATGTAACCGAACGTGATAAAAATCATCAAAAACAATTTTACATACACTACAAGTTAGTCTAGTGGTTTAGCACATCGCTTTACTTCCGATGGTCGGGTTCGATTCCTCGCACGGTGCAAACATTTGTATTCATGAGTATGATTGTTTGTATCGGTCTGGGTGTTTTCTAATATGTATGTATTTACAAAAATAAATATTTATGTCTTTGTATCAGTTGTCTAGTACACATAACACAAGCTCTGCTTACCGTGAACTAGATGGCGCTGTTTTAATTGTTCAGAGGTTTTTTTTTATAATAGGTATGTATATACAAAATTAAATATAGTCTAGCGGTTTAGCTTTACTTCCGATGGTCGCAGGTTCGATTTCTCACACGGTGCAAACATTTGTATTTATGAGTATGATTGTTTGCTTCGGTCTGGGTGTTTTCTATGTATATTAAGCATGTATTTACAAAAATATCTAAGTATTTATATTAGTTGTCTAGTACCCATAACACAAGGTCTACTTATATTGGGACTAGATGGCGCTGTATTAATTCTCAAGGGATATTTTTTTTCTAATATGTATGTATTTACAAAAATAAATATTTATGTCTTTGTAGCAGTTGTCTAGTACCCATAACACAAGCTCTGCTTACCATGGCGCTGTGTCAATTCTCCAGGGGTAATTTTTTAAAATATTGAAATCAATATCGATATTGTTTTAACACTCAAAATTTTAACACTCATACACCCTGTATGAGTGTTAAAATTTTTGTTATATACCTACGCCAATCCGCGGTTGCTAATATATATAAATATAGACAAAGAACCCTATTCTTTTGAACGTTAAAAATGTGTTTGTTTTATTTATTTCTTTCTGTGGCGGGGTCCTTACTTGAAGATTTATGTGGACAAGTTCTTTCAGGTTTTCTTTATTGCTGAAACTCGACGACATATTGTTACAGCGCATGTTCCCTATGATTTATTGAAGTTTCCCCATCGCAGTCGAGTTGCTAATATTTCAGATAACAAAACTAGAGTTGGTGTGTGCACACATGTCATTATGTAAGAAATATCAACTCTATGTACTAGTAAAAGTATGTATTATAATAAAATAACAACTATATAACATTAATTTAACTATGTCTCCAACACAATTCACTTTTATACTATTTTATAAGGTGGACTGTAGTTGTGGGAGCTCATACATCGGACAGACAAAAAGAACAATAGCCCGTCGCATTGCTGAACATATAAAAGCTATTAAAAACAACGATCCACGTATATCAGCCATAGCGGAACACTTGTTGGGATCGGGACCCAATCACTGGACTGAACAACACCAACCAAAAGTATTAACATCAGAACGGCATTATATCCCAAGAATGGTTAGAGAGGCCATTGAAATACAGAAATATAAAAATTACAACCGAGAAGACGGTTATAGGCTCTCTAATGCCTGGAATCCAGTGATTGGTTTAATTAAACAAAAACAAAAAACGCGATCGAAAAGTGTATAAAATGTACGTAAAGATACTGTGAGTACAGTTTGCCGAGATGAATATCGAGCGAGTTCCAGTAGTAGCAATGAACGAAGACGTGTGAAGGTAGACGCATATGTCTGCCCATAAAAAGATTTCATTTTCCATCTACCCGCTGCTCTTCAGTTTACCCGTGATCATGGTGGTTGAAACACTACCGAAATATCGGGAACTCAGCAAATATATATAAAACGTGGTAAGATCCCGTGATGTATACTAATTATACAATTCACTTTAGCATTTAAAATACAACCAGCACATCCTGTGCTCAAACACCGAATGCCGTGGCTTTTTTTTTCGGACTACTCTAATGCTGTTGGCCGTAGCTGGCCTTTACAGCTTCACCGGACGTTATGGGGCGAGTGCAGATGGCACTCCAAACCCGCGGAAGGACTTATGGAGCGGCTGAAGGCCAACTCCTGCCCGACGGATACGACTTTAGTCTGAGGGCACCACTAGGGGTTCGAACCTCGGCTCAGGCCGTCGTAATTTCGATCTCCGTTTGAATTGGACGGGGGATCGATCAGAGGGGCGCCCGGGGGCGCCGGTATGGAGCGCCCGGTTGAATGCGCGATAATGTGTGTTTGAGGTCGTCGTCTTCGCCGGCGAGGACGGTGTCGTGTGTGTGTAAAAGTGTGGTCAGTGTGCCGTGGCTTACAAAAACCCTCCCTTTTATACAGAGAAGATATGAGTGGGGGTTATACGCAACTAGTTTTACGATACCGAGTAATAATGAAACTACCTTCTTTTAATATTTTTAAATATCAGATTTTTTGACAATATCGATGTGAACACTAACATGGAAATTGTTATTAAGGGGAAAAAATGGAAGGAGAGAGTGGGAAGGGAAGACCAAAGCACAGCTACATCAAGCAACTTAAAGACAAAATAGTGGTCGTGGCGTATCAACATTTAAAGAGCATGATGGAAGATCGCGGAAAGTGGCAAGAGCTCCACCGACAAACGGGTGGCTCTTAAATTATTAATAATAATAATAATAAACATCTATACATATAAATAAAATTAGAGTGTCTGTTTGTAATATTGAAATAAACGTTCTTTACTGTATGCATATGATTATAAATGTTATTTTGGTGTATGTACGGGACATACACCAAAATATTTTTTTTTACAATTTTTATCTGTCTGCCATTCTGTTTGTTCCGGCTAATCTCTGAAATGGTTGGACCTGGTTATAGGAAGTAATTTAGGCTACTATTGTTATTTTAGAAAAGTAAAGTTTAATTCCACGCGGACGAAGTCGCGGGAACAGCTAGTGATAAATAATCCTGAATAATTAATATAGCGCCATCTAGTCCTACGGTAAGCAGAGCTTATGTTGTCGGTATTAGAGAACTGACCAATTTTTTTTACTCAGACATTTTTTTTGTAAACATATACATAATACACATAAAAAACACCCAGACCGATATAAACAATAGAAATACTCAATCTTTGTGCCGTACGGGGAATCGAACCCGCGACCATCGGAAGAAAAGCGGTGTCTACTGCTAGACCACCGAGGTCGTCGAAGTCGTTTGTTTCAATCCACGCAGATACAGTATTAAAGTAAGTAATGTATTTATTTCAGGTGGACGGTGTTTCGTTGCACGGTGTGACAAACCACAGAGCAGTGGCGCTTCTCAGAGACGCGAAAGGTCCAGTTGTAAGACTAAAAGCACTCAGGTAATTCTAGAACTAATAATTCTAGAATAATGTTTACATATAATGCGGAATATAATCTATACATGTAAATAAAATTGGAGTGTCTCTTTGTAATGTTGAAATAACCGTTTTTTACTACATGCATATGAATATAAATGCGGTACATACATCAAAATAACATTTTTTACAATTTTTATCTGTCCGTCTGTATATTCTGGCTAATTACTGAAATGGCTGGACCGATTTTGACGGGACTTTTATTGGCAGGTAGCTGATGTAATGAGTAAATTGGCTACTTTTATTTTGGAAAAATAAATGTATATTCCACGCGGACGAAGTCGAGAGTATAGCTAGTGTAATATAAGTGGGACTCCAGTCTCCTCAATTAGCATCTCATCTGGGCCGTTGTGCGTGCAGAGCCAGACTACTAAAGTAGCCAGCCAAGGTCCTCCCAAAAACGCAGAAGTCTCTTGTTGTCTTCATAGGCATCGAGTGACCACGCTGTTCCTAGGATTTGTTTTCTTTGTGTGGCCACTGAAGGATTACGTGTGCCGCCGTTTCCTTAGGGGAAGCCTTAGGAGTGGAATTTATGAAAATCCTTTCTTAGGGAATGCCTACGTCATAGTAGCTTTATGCATGCAAAGTCTCAGCCCGATCGGTTTAAAATTGACAAAGTTTCATACAAACTTTCAATCCCTATTTTATCCCCTTGAGGGTAGAATTAATCAAAATCCTTTCTTAGCGGTTGTCATAACGTCTACCTGAATGCCAAATTTCAGCCCGATCCGTCCAGTGGTTTGTGCTGTGTGTTGATAGATTACTATGTCAGTCAGTCAGTCACCTTTGAGTTATATATATTTAGATACCTGCTATTGAATATATGTTTTTTTTTACCCTGGACATTAACACAGCGCCATCTAGTCCCAAAGTAAGCAGAGCTTGTGTTATGGGTACTAGACAACTGATATAAAAAATATTATTTTTAGTATATACGTAACATACATAGATAACACCCAGACCGTTACAAACAATCATACTCATGAATACAAATTTTTGCACCGTCCGAGGAATCGAACCTGCGACCATCTGCCCATTATTTGACGACCTCTGTGGTCAAGCGGTCTAGCACACCGCTTTACGTCCGATGGTCGCGGGTTCGATTCCTCGCACGGCACAAACATTTTGTATTCATGAGTATAATTGTTTGTATCGGTCTGGGTATTTTCTATGTATAATATGTATATATTTACGAAAAAAAATATCTATGTATTTGTATCAGTTATCTAGTACTCAGCCTATGTCCAGCAGTGGACGTCTTCCGGGCTGCGATAATGATGATGATGATGATCTAGTACTCATAACACAAGCTTTAGCTAGCTTAACTTGGATGTAGATGGCGCTGTGTGAATTGTCTTGAGATTATTGAGATGATTATTATTATTATTATCTACAAATTGGCAGGTATTTGCGTGGCGCGGGGTTTGAGAAATTGCAACGAGCGCTGGCAGCACAAGATGGTAGACGGTCACCAATCGCGCCGCCCAGTCCCTCTGTCACATCGCTTGCCAAGTATAGTTTTAGTGTGGTGAGTTTTTTTTATTGATGATAATGGAATGGTGCACCCACCTGCGCTGACGGTACACGCTGGCGGGGCAACAGTGGAGATTGATAGGAGCACGAGGTCTGGTCAGTTAGCACACGTGCCGGATTCCAAGGGTAACCGCGTGGAAGTCAACCTGACAAATGCCAATCCAATACTACAAATATTCACAAATATGCTACCAGTTTTATTTCTATTGGTAATATTTCTCAATGTATTTTAATAATTATCGACAGTAAATCAATAAAACACAATAATAATAAATATAGCGTGATTGTCATAATTTAAGTTTTGATATAATATTTTTAAATGTAACTAAATTTTGGACCTTTGTCACACAATGTCACACGTTGTCACACAATGTCACACTTTGTCACTCTTCTTAACGTGTGATATTGGATGCCGAATTGGATAGATGGATAGCCTCCTGTTACCTGATAATGCCTAATGAACCAAATATTTACAAAGAAAACTCTAAATACACTGTCTATTGACAGTTACGCCTGATGTTTTGGTAGCATCAATCAAATTTATTTAACATGATCCTATGTACATTGCCCTGAACTTCAGAAGTAAACATCTTAATATGACGAATGAATTTTATGAACTTGTTTGTCTACGTACAATCTGATTTCCATTATATTTAGAACTGCCTTTGTATTTCAGAATAATAACAATAATAATCTCAGGACAATTCACACAGCGCCATAATTTTGTTTTCGTAAATACATGTATATTATACATAGAAGACACCCAGACCGATACAAGCAATCATGCACATGAATACAAATGTTTATGAATACATCGAAGCACTTTTGAATAGACATCACATTTTTTTTAATCTACTGCTCTTTCGGAAAGCTGTCTCATCACAAGAAGAATGAGCAAGAAACTTGCGTGTTGCTCTTTTAAATTTTCATATTCACATATTATTTACTCACAAAATATATAATTACCTTCGAAGTTGCGGGTTTGATTCCTTGCACGGTACAATCATTTGTATTCACGAGTATGATTGTTTGTATCGTCCTGAGTGTTTTCTATGTGTATTATGTGTTGTGTCCTGGGTTTATTACCTATATCGACGGAAAAAATTCAAATAGTTGCGACTTGACAAACGCAACCATACAATAATTATTTTTAGTTTCGTTTATTTCAAAAATTAAATCTCATATATTTATGGATATAGAAAGTTGAAAATTGGTATGTATTGAATTTTTAATTCTAATAATTAAAAATTAAATATCTATAGATATATAAGTTACTAGCTGGAAGAGAAAGAAATACTGCACCGACACCAAATATTGAGATAAAGGAAAGGCGATGACTAGCTGAGCCCGCAAACGATGATTTGCCATTTTAATTAAAATCATTATTAAAAAATAGGGGTTGGTTACAGAAGGGTGAAAATTTATTTTTTAAATACCACAATAAAAAATTAACTATTTGTACATTGAAGTAAAAAAAAAAGTTAGGAGTCACATCCTCTATCATTTAGGAGTATGAGAAAAGTAACCGTTTCTCAGACCTACTGAATATGCATATCAAATTTCATAAAAATCTGTCAAGACATTTCGGAGTATAGTAATTTTATATATAACTTTATTTTTTTTAACAGTTTTTTTTTGCGGTAATCACTTACCACCACGTGAGCTGCAATCTCGTTTTGTACCCTACGCTATATAAAAAAAATGTTTGTTCCAGTACGATGAATCAACAGTAATAGAAGCAGAGCCAGAGTCCGAGATCCAGCCGCACCTGCCTTCCCCCACGTCTCCCTCCGAGGAGGCGGAGATCGTGATAGGAGGGGACGAGGAGACCCCCCAGCGGGACGCCAGGAGAATACAGGATAAGTGGCGGGACATACTGAGGGAGGAACACGATTGGCCCGGAAACCAGTACCAATACGATGTTATCGTGAGTTGCTTCACAAATACATTTTTTTTATTCTAGTCTTTGCAGTGCAAAAAGCAGAAATATTAAATACCTGTCGTATCGTACGAAACATTACAGGAAGACATAGGAAACTGGTAATTAAAGATATGCACTCGCCTGCGATAACAGTTAACTGGCGGGCACCAGTGTTTATAAGATGAGCATGAGATCAGGTCAGTTAGCACATTGTGGTAAATTGACGAGGAATTTATCACGATGGTGTCCAGGGTCAACCATCAAACCTATTAGAATTACTTTGTCAGTACGACCCGTAACTCTAACTTCTCATACCGAAGAATTTCTAGAATATATAGGTTTAGGCCTGCACGTAGCAAAAATAAAGAAAGGTTCTCCACACCGAAAAATGGAGAAAAATAATACTCTTAGACTTAATAGAGTGTATCCTTAATTCCAGGCAGGTACAATAATGAAAGATAAGGAGAGCGGGCTGGGCATCTCGTTAGAGGGAACAGTGAGGGTAGTCGCAGGGAAGGAGGTGCAGGCTCGCCACTACATCCGCGCGATAGCACCCAACGGACCCGTCGCCAGACTCGGGATCTACAAAGTGGGAGATGAACTGCTAGAGGTACGTTAGCTTAGGAAAGATATTGTAGAAGCCAGTTCTGTCCTTAAAATAATATCACACAGCCAGGCCCCTCTTCCCCACTGGGCACACTGGGCACGTGCCCAGGGCTATAGATTGGGGTCCCTAGTCTATTCTAGTCCCTACTCCATTACCAAACAATAACCAATAGCTACTCTACTCTCGCCTGAAAGTCAATCTTAACAAATGCTTACCGAATATGGTCAATTTGTTTGTTTTTGTTAGTTTTTTTATAAACGTCTAGCAAGAACTTGTACCATTCATCACATAACGACTCTTTAAAATCATTTTTGCCTTATGGGGATGCCCTACCACAAAACATTGTGGTAGGGCATTCCCATATACATCTCTAAAGTGTCATGTTCAAAAATGACTGTCTATTCTAACAAAATAGTGCTTTATTATTATGGTCGTAGGGTCGTATGGTCGTATCCTAATGTGCCCAGGGCCTCTAATAGGTGAAAGACAGCCCTGCACACAGCGTCATCTAATCCAAAGCTAAGCAGAGTTTGTGTTACGGAATAGTATAGAATAATATAGAAAATTCTTTATTAAATAAACTAATTAATAATAATAATAATGTTGCCATCTCCTCTCCTTAAGAGGGGAGATGAGAATTTTTGGATAAAAATAGTAATAATAATCATTTATTCAGCATAAAAAAGAGTACAGAGTAAAAAAGAAAACTTAAATACTAATAATCGTCTATGCTGAAAAAGCCTCCACACAGCTGGTGCCGCAGCGTGTCACTACAGCGCTGGTCATCAGTGGAGCCACTTGAAAAAAAGAAAAAAAAAATAGCATTCGTGATGAACTTAAATATATAAAATGAAGAATCAGTTAAATGGATGAATTATAAGTATGTGTGATAAATAGAAGAAAAATATATAAGGATAAAAAAGTGTTGTTAGAAAGACTTTTGTGTAATATAATATAGCTTGAATATATTTATTTATTTAATCAATATATATGTATATATAACTACTGTATTTATCTGCCACGTTTAAGATTTTTGTACTTTAAGTAAATATTTTTTAAAATGATGTTTAAAAGACGAAACTGACTGAACATAACATAACATAATAAATAAACAAATAAACTAATTGAACACTTTTGAATAGTCTATTACTTATTTTTTAATCTACCGCTCATTCGGAAATCTGTATCATCACAAAAATAACGAGCAAAAAAGTAGAAATGAAGTACAATATACAAGTGTCACATATAAATACTACAACAAAATTGATGGTAGATTTAATCATAAGAGGCTGTAATAGATGAACCTGCATGAATATTTAGTTTTTTTTTATTCTCACACTATTATTACATAGTATAAAATAAAGTCGCTGTCGCTGTCTGTCCCTATGTATGCTTAATTCTTTAAAACTACGCAACGGATTTTGAAGTTGTTTTTTTAATAGATAGAATGATTCTATATGAAGGTTTATATATATTATACATGTATACCCGTGCGAAGCCGGGGCAAGTACCTAATATTATATATTTCAAACCAGCGAAAATTGGAAGAGATATTTATCCAATAATGTTCTGCTGCAGGTGAATGGGTGGCGTGTATTGGGTGCCCATCACGTGGAGCTGGTGACGCGGCTGCGGGCTGTACAGTCGCCGGTCACGCTGGTCGTCGTCAGGAAACGGAACGAGAAGCGGCCTGGTCCTGAACCTGGATATGCCAGGGTATGTATTGAATTTCTTTCTAAACTGAGGAGAGCTTATAGTCGTATACTGTTTTTATGCATGATAATTTTGGAGGCAACTAGTAAACTATGATAAATACCTTATAGATTACCACAATTAAGATCCACGCTTTTGCCGGTGGAACTTTTTTTGCCACGCTCAACCACATTGCGGAATCACCTTCCAGCAATGGTATTTCCGAACCGATACAATATTGAAACCTTCAAGAAAAAAGCTTATTCCTTTTTAAAAGGCCGACAATGCACTTGCAATTCCCTTGGTGTTGCGGGTGCTCATGGGCGGCGGTAATCACTTACCATCAGGTGAGCCGCGTGCTCGTTTGTCCCCTGTGTTATAAAAAAATAGTTCTTATCTATTTTTAGTTTAGGTTTTGGGTTATTGTCACGTGTTAAGACCTTATACAAGTCTTAACGGCAGCATGTTGGTGGGAATCTGGGCTACAAACGCCTTTTGACTCAACTTCAGCTGCGCCACCCTCAATGTCTAGTCCGTATATAATGAAATGGTCCACCGATTGCGCTAACCAGTGCAGGATGAAAGGATATCATCAGATGATAGATAGGATTCATCAAGAATTTATCATAATGGTTTCCAGGGAGATCTTAACTGACATGCTACATTGCTAGCAATGGGATCATCAGTTCAATTACTAAAAACCCTTTCTTCATAAGAAAGGTTATATTGTGGGTACTAGACAATTGATACAAATACAGCGATACCTCGACATACGAGTATCTCAAAGCGATTATCTCGATTTAAATTTCACCTGCAGATTTAAAAAAAGTGTCCAAAGAGATTTGTTTCTTTCTCTTTTCCTTCCTTCTTTAGGATATTGCGGTAATGAGTTGAGCAAATTTCGTTCAATAAGTCCGATGTAAGACCAGTTGCAACTTTTTCTTATCCACGAATTCTACAACATTCTACCACAATCCTAAGATCTCCTTTATATCTCTTGTAGAGATAACCTCCTCCTCTCTCACCTCATTGTCAAAAACAAGACCGTGTTCTTGACCTCTAGTTGTTCTTTGAAACCATTAAAATTTTGTGGATTTAGTGGTGAGGTGATAACTAACGGGCTACAATGGTATCGTATTCAATTTCCAGAACCAGATCCTGGGCGGCAGCCTGCAGGAGCTGCTGGCGCCGCCGCAGCGCCTCATCAAGGCCAAGTCAGAGAGCGAGGTCGCCTCCCTCTGCAGCGCAGCCACCGTGCTCTCCGCGGGTTAGCACCACATTATCTCTTTCCTCTTCTCTGTTCACGAACATACAATATACCATACTCGCACACTTTTACGAAATATCCAGACCGTTGAAAACAATCACACTCATGATAACAAACGTTTATATGTGAGGAATCGAATCCGCGATAATCGGAAGTAAAACGGTGTGCAATACTTCTAGACCACCGATGCCGTCATAATTGCTTTTGTTTTGATGTAGATGTATTATATTTCTGTACGTGCATGATGGAGCAACAATTCAAGGTCATTTATATTTTATTTACAGAATTCTGCAGTGACTCCCTAGAGCGGAACAGGTCCAGATCCTTGGAACCTCTGAGTGGTTTGGCGATGTGGAGCGACCGTGTCCAATACATACAGCTCCTAAAGGAAGAAAGGGGTCTTGGGTTCTCAATACTTGACTACTTGGTGAGTAGAGTCATCTTGTTAGATTCATTTATGTGCGAGAATTTACTTAGTTTGTATATAGGTACAATAATTCTGTTAAAAAGATAAATTATTTAAAACGCACCATCGTTTTATTCGATTTTGCTCCAAAATGAACATCAAATTTTTCGATTACTTTTTTAATATCTTCTATATCATTCTCGGAATTAGAATTGAATATAGTATAAATATCATCCATTTGATCCTACCAAATTAATTAATAAAATAGCTTGTACGTTTTTTTATGAATCCTAATGCTTTCAAGAAACTTTGACACAGACGTAACCAATTGCTCTCTCTTTTGCAAAATAAATATTGTTTTTATTAGCTGCTTTGCCCCATAATAAAACGACATTATACTACGGAAATAGCTCTATTTTCTCTATTCTATAAGCCCCAATATAGGACATATTGGGGTGTGTAGATTTAATAATTTTTATTGCTTTTGTAACATATTATTAGCAGTAAACCAATTTAAAACAGAAGATAGAGAAAGAGCACGGTTTGCTTTGTCGATGTCGTCAATTTGTTGATTGACTTTAATGTCCAATGAAGTATCATCGACAAACAGAACTATATCTACTATATTTTCTAAAAATAAAAAAGGACCTAGAATAGATAGATAGATAGATAGATAAGTTCTTTAATCAGCCATTACAAACACATAGCATACATGAGGTACATTTTATAAATAGAAATAAAGTTTACAGATTAAATAATACAGAAATATGATATTACAAAATAAAATAAAATAAAAATGGAGGTGGCTTTATGTGTCGAAATGATGAAGAGGCAACCAACTCAGCATGAAGCTACAGATAAGTCTGCAGCGCTGATATTCTGTTGGCTCCTATAATTAAATACATACTTACATACATATATACGTGAATGTTTATATATTACACTTCGAGCTCTTAAAAAAATTATACTATTACAAAACACTATACAATATACAAATAGATTAAAAATGAAGTGGTGTGTTATGTATACATATATTGTTAACCTACAGATACATACTACGTACATAAATAATAGTTGTTGTTAGCATATACAAGGTCGCTGGCTAAACGCGCCGTGAGTCAGACATTATTGTTCCTGACCATGCTTACCGACTTCGGTCGTTGAAAAAAAAGACTCCTCAGATAAAGGACCTCCTATTTAAAGTCAGTTGTTCAGACAATAAGTGTTTTTTTAAAAGGTTTTTAAAATTCACTTTAGTTTTTATATTATGAATGGGAGGAGGTAAGTTATTCCAACATTTGGAGGCCATATATCTGAAACTGCCTCTGAAGGCAGTAGTCCGATGTGCTGGAGTCACTAGTCGATACAACGAAGCCCTGGTTTTAAAAGCATGCTGATTGCCAGACCACACAAGTTTTCTATAAAGGTAATCAGGCATTCCCTGATTCAGATCCCTGAGGGACAACTATTTTAATACTAACTTTTTCTGACTTTCCATCATTTATTTTAACAAGTGGCATTCTATCATCTTAATAGAGATTTCATTATGCTTAGAATTTCATTCCTGATATCGTAGTTATTCTAGTCTGCGTAAAAGTATTTCATCAGTCAATCGAATGCTTTTGAGGTCTATACTAGCTATACCGATAAGAATTGTTTTGGGGTTCTATTGGGTTCAATAAAGTTCCCCAATAATATTATTAGTTACATGTAGAGAATACGATCGTCTATCGTTACTATCCGTGTAGATGATGAGACGTGTAGAATTCGGTACCGTCGTCAGGACCCGTCGGAGGCGGGCAGCTCCGTGATCGTGGTGCGGTCGGTGGTGGGCGGCGGCGCGGCGGCGGCGGACGGCCGCCTCGCGCCCGGCGACCGCCTCGTCTCCGTCAACGGCCGGGACGTCGCGCGCGCGCCCCTCGCCGCCGCCGTCGCAGCCATCAAGGCCGCGCCGCCAGGTAACTGCGCCCGCCTGTAGGGGACACCTGCCAGCTGGCAGCGGGCAGGTGGCAGCGGGCAGGTGACAGGTGGCAGCTGGCAGCTGGCAGCTGGCAGCGGGCAGGTGGCAGCTGACAGCTGGCAGGTGACAGGTGGCAGGTGGCAGGTGACAGGTGGCAGCTGGCAGCTGGCAGCTAGCAGGTGGCAGGTGACAGGTGGCAGGTGGCAGCTGGCAGCTGGCAGGTAACAGGTGACAAGTGGCAGCTGGCAGGTGGCAGGTACCAGGTGGCAGATGGCAGCTGGCAGGTAACAGGTGACAGGTGGCAGCTGGCAGGTACCAGGTAGCAGCTGGCAGCTGGCAGGTACCAAGTAGCAGCTGGCAGCTGGCAGGTAACAGGTGACAGGTGGCAGCTGGCAGCTGGCAGGTGGCAGGTGGAAGACGCCACGCGGCAAGTAACGGGGACGCGAAAAGTAGTAAGAGCCTAGCGATGTGTGAGATACACCAAAAAATCATCAGTTAAACTCTTACGGTGGAAGCCATATTGGCTGAAGGTATTTAAAGAGTTCAACATTGATTGCACTCTCCATGATCTTGGACACAACTCCAGAGCACACTTCTTTAACACCAATGCCGGTATGCCGTCTGGTCCATTCGACTTGTTATCGTCAAGAGACAGCAACTGACTCTTCGTTGCGTTACGGATATTTCCGGTATAGAGCTACCACTACACCTTGGGATAATAGTAGTTGTGGTTTCCCCAACGTCTATTAAAAAGAGCAGCACACAAGTTTCTTGCTCATTCTTCTTGTGATGAAACTGCATTCCGAATGAGTGGTAGAATTAAAATATGACTATTCAAAAGTGCTTGTAGTGAGTTTATTTGAATAAAGATTATTTCTATTTCTTGAGTATTTGTAGAGCCTTCTCTTTTGCACTGAGTGCCAGGTTATCATGTGGATTCCGTAGTGATGCTAAGGACGACTGACAGAAGTTATCTTCGGCTGCTTTAGCAAGCGACCAATAGGCACTACTTCCAGAAGGATGTCGAGCAAGTTGCTCTCCAATTTTGCTGACGAAGTCGAATTTGGCTCTAGCAATTACCGTCTGACTAAACCTGGTTGCAGCATTTAAATTCTGCCTTGCATCAGATACGCCAACGTGACTGTTGGAACTACTTGGAACGATTGGTCCAAGCCTGATAATACATAATAATTCATAGAGAATGTTATACATATTTTATTTTATTTTTATTTTTTACAATTCACACAGCGCCATCTAGACCCAAGTTAAGCTAGCTAAAGCTTGTATTATGGGTACTAGATAACTGATACAAATACATAGATATTTTTTTTCGTAAATACATACATATTATACATAGAAAATACCAAGACCGACGCAAACAATCATACTCATGAATATAAATGTTTCCGTGCGAGGAATCGAACCCGCGACCATCGGACGTAAGGCGGTGTGCTAGACCGCTAGACCACCGAGGTCGTCAATTTACCAGGGATGTTAGGGAGCTCCGTAACCGTAACCGAAACTATCGGATATCCGATATAAAAAAATATTCGTAACCGTAACCGAATCCGAAATAAAAGTTTCGGATAATATCGGATAGGGACGGAGCCTAATAGAGACACGTTGTGTAACCATTTTATTAGCTATTTGTATTTTACTTTTGAAATTCCTTAAAAAATTTATATCCGTAACCGAAATTATCCGAAACTAACGGATAATCCAAAATAATTTCATAGCTGTATCCGGCATAATAATCATTCCTATATCCGAAACCTATCCGTGACCGAAATTTCATAGAATAACTTTATTTAATCACTTTTGAATAGTCAACATTTTTTTTAAATCTACCGCTTATTCGGAAAGCTGTCTTATCACAAGAAGAATAAGCAAGAAACTTGTGTGTTGCTCTTTTAAACAATCCTTGTAAGTTCACATTTTACAAGTTGAAACGTGTGAATACAAACTACCAACCAGAACTAATTTATTTAGGCTCAAATATAAAAGACACAATAAGATTAAATCAGTCGTAGTGATAAGAGCAGACCAATCCCTACAAGCAGCACTCGTTCGAGTATGACGGATGAGCCAGCCATCACTGCGCTCGACCATATTTTAGGGAGCCCAATGACCCGGCCCACCATTCCGCCACATGTCTGGACATTTTAGTGAGCATGACTCATTCCACTCGACCACGTCACAGCTACAAAAATTACTATATGGTAGTTACAGTATTCGCACTTTACATAAGGATGCATGCGGCAATCAATACAAAAGCCGCTACGCTATCATATATCAAGAAAGCAGTATGAAAAATAAATTATAACGTTGTCCGCAAATAAACTTATACTTGCTATATATTGCTATCATCTATAAATTCATCTATCCTATATCCATAACATACTTGATATTTACCTGTTAAATAGTGAGTTAAAAAAAAATATTCCAAACTATTATCTTATGTAAATACAGTAATATCAATAAACAACTATCTCTACCGACATGAGAGATAACTAATTATCACTGTGTGATTTTATAAACGAAGGTTTTGTGTCTAGGTACATTGTATATATTAATATTAAAAATTTGTATGTTTGTTACTAAAACTTTTTTTTGTTTTAATAATTGGTATGCGCTTGGTCTTACCTCATCTGATGGTAAATGATGGTAAGATCCAGGATGTAGCGCATTTACCCAGAAGATATCTTCACCATAGAATTGAAGAATCTGGAGTTGTATGTCTCCGGGAACACAAAAGCTGGAAGTGTGTACCACTCTTTGGCAGTGCGTATTAGGAAGGACGATGCGAACCGGTCAGTGCGAATGTGCGGAATTTCCACGACGTACGGAAGAAGTCCCAGTGCTCGTCGGGTAGTTCGGTGGTAAATTTATGGCAATATTTATGGCAAGATTACATATGTACATAAGAAGTATGAAAGTGGCGCCGGTGTCGGAGAGGTTGAAGAGTAATCGTCTATCATGGTATGGGAGAAAGAGAGAAAGGGAGTAAATAACGAGATGACTGCGAATAGGGGTGGAAGAGAAAAATATATTACGACGATCACAAATAAATGGGATAAGGATCATAACTACATACATACATACATACATATAAATAAAATTGGAGTGTCTGTTTGTAATATTGAAATAACCGTTTTTTACTACATGTATATGAATATAAATACGGTATATATACCAAAACAACATTTTATTCAATTTTTGTCTGTCTGTCTGTTTGTTCCGGCTAACCTCTGAAATCGCTGGACCGATTTTGCGGGACTTTTTTTACAAACTCGCTACCCACCCCGGCTTTGCACGGGTATACATGTATTATATATATATGAAGATTCCTCTTGAATCATTCTATCTATTAAAAAAACCGCTTCAAAATCCGTTGCGTGTTTTTAAATATTTAAGCATACATAGAAATGGACAGACAGCGACAGCGACTTTGTTTCATACTATGTTACTAGCTGTTCCCGCGACTTCGTTCGCGTGGAATTTAATTTTATATTTTTCTAAAATAAACGTAGTCTAAGTCACTCCTTATTACATCAGCTACCTGTCAGAAAAAGTCCCGTCAAAATCGGTTCAGCCGTTTAAGAAATTAGCCGGAACAAACAGACAGACAGATAAAAGTTGTAAAAAATGTTATTTTGGTGTATATACCATATTTATATTCATATGCATGTAGTAAAAAACGGTTATTTCAATATTACAAACAGACACTCCAATTTTATTTATATGTATAGACGATTACGAACAATACCGTGAGTAATAAACAGTATTAACTCATTTTGTGGCTTCAATGAAAACATAATTATCAAAACAAACATATCATACTCATTGTTCGAGAACAACATTAATAAAACATAGTGAACAGTCGGCACTTTGTCACGTCCCTGTTTTGTATTCACATGTAACTTTGAATACAATTTATTCAAATACAAATATGAATACAAACTTTGTATTTGAATTTGTGTGGTTTACAGTGATATTATTATTTCTTGTGACCGTTTAAGTTTGCTGTGCTCTGCAATCTGAATTCTTGCATATATTACTGACGGTTGACCGGTTATACGAATAAAAAATATAAAAACTTTTTGAACTAGCAATAACAAATATATATTTTAACAGTTAACAAACGTGTGTGTGTGAATTACATGGTAGTGTATGTAATGTTTGTTTTTTTATTGATTTAATGTATTTTTATGTATAAATTTAGAAAGATTATCATTCAATATTTCTTCTTTATATAAATTATAAGTGCGTGAAATTTCATACTCCTCGCAATTTTCGTAAAAATGGTTAATAATAATAATAATCTCAGGACAATTCACACAGCGCCATCTAAACCCAAGTTAAGCTAGCTAAAGCTTGTGTTATGGGTACTAGATAACTGATACATATACATAGATATTTTTTTGTAAATACATACATATTATACATAGAAGACAGAAGAAAGGGATTACTCCCAACAAATCATCTTTCACACAGTCTTTCCATCTCTTTTCCGGCTTACACTATCTATAGTGTTCACTTATTTTTTATTTATGTCTTCTTGTATGTAAGTTGTTATCGACATAATATCGGCTCGTTAGCCATAGCTCCACGTCTTTACTCCGCGGCGCTTGCGCAGGAAATCCGTCACCTCTTGCGCACGGCGGCCTGTGTACGCTCGGCTCGAGACGATATAGTGTTTCCACATACACTACACTATCCACATTCATATATAACACCATCCTTGAAATATTAGCTAGTCATAATTAATTGCAATTATTATATTGATGTATAATAATAACTCGTCATTATTATTATTTATTATTACAACTGATTGTGTTTGAGGAAATTACATGTTTACCCGATGTAGAATCATAACATTAATAAATGAAGTTTAAATAGAATAGAATAGAAAATCATTTATTCAAATAAACTTAATTTAAGCACTTTTGAATAGTCATAACAATTTGTTTTTTATCTACCACTCGTTCGGAAAGCTGTCTCATCACAAGAAGAACGAGCAAGAAACTTGTGTGTTGCTCTTTTAAATAATCCTTGTAAGTTTACATTTACAAGTCGAAACGTGTGAATACAAACTACCAACAAGCACTAATTTTTGGGTCAAATATAAATATGCAATAAGATTAAATCAGTCGTAGTGATAAGAGCAGACCAGTCCCTACAAGCAGCACTCGTTGTATGACGGACATCACTGCGCTCGTATTTAGGGAGCCCATTGAGTATGATGTCTGGACATTTTTGACTACTCATTCGACCACGTCACAGCTATAAAAATTACTATATGTATACTGTTTTAAGGATGCAGAAATATATATGTATGAAAATTAAAATTATAACGTTGTCCGCAAAAAACTTATTCTTGCTATATATATCATCTATAAATTCATCTATCTTATAATAGGCTTTTTTACATAACATTTGTTTAATATAAGATTTGAATTGCCTCTCTGTAAGATGGACTCTGGCAGTTTATTAAGAACGTTACCATAAAATGAATTACTAACTTTGTGTAGACCATTTCGGTAAAATTGCTTATTTTTAGCGGTTTAGTACTTGAAACTATCGTTTTACTTGTATACATAATATTTTCATAAATGTATGGAGGCAACGAGGATATTTGATTGTTTAAAGCATTGACGTAATGACTCTCTAGAACCCATACCATAAATAGAACATTTGTATATATAGTATTTATATGATTTTTAGCCGTATGCCATATGACATAACGCTATGGAAATATTTTATTTATGTCTGTTAAGCCTTAGTTATAATAATAATAATAAGTCTACTGGCTAATTTTGAAATATGGGGCCCCCATTGTAACCTCCAGTCCACTGTTATTCCTAAAAAAACTGTATCATTAACAAAATTTACTATTTCATCATTAAGCAATAGCTGCGTATTTACTTGTTTTACATTAGGCAGCGTGAATTTAACATTAGTTTTGTTGGAGTTCAATAATAGATTATTACATGTGAACCAATTTAGTATAGCAGAGATAGCATAATTTACATCGTCTAATTGATTACATTGGCGACCAATTTTAAACACGAACGAAGTATCATCCGCAAATAACACTATATCTGCAACTTTCTCTACCATGTAGGGAAGGTCATTTATATAAATTAAAAAGAGAAACGGGCCTAATATTGAACCTTGAGGAACGCCCATTTTTATATTGTCCTTAGACTTTACACCATCAATATCTACAGTTTATATCCTCTAGATAAGTTTTCATTAGACTTAGGTCATTATCTCTAATACCATAATTTTTGAGCTTGTACAAAAGTGTTTCATGATCTACGCAATCAAACGCCTTCGACAAGTAAAAAAAAACGCCGAGAGCATCCTGTGAGTTTTCCCATGATTCGAATATATGTGTAATAAGCGCTACACCTGCATCAGTAGTAGACTTGCCGGCAGTAAACCATATTGCTGACTGTGAAAGTCCGTTATTATTTAACATTTGGTTAAACATAATCTTTTCTACTTTCTAGAACTGGCAAAATAGAAATTGGTCTATAGTTGCTTTTTTATCTCCAGATTTAATTTCTAAATTTCATTAAGCCATTATCAACACATTTATTGAAAATAGTAGCTAGATAAGGAGCAACAATATCTATGAATGTATATATTTAAGACATGTCCCAGAGATCTTCCGTATTTTTTAAATTTAACTGTTTGAATATTTTTATGACATGAAAAGGGCTGACATGTGAAAATTTAAATTAGTTAGTTTGTACCGCATAATGCTAATGGATTATGACTTTTAACAAAGTCAAAGTCTATTCTCATCGCTTCATCTGCGATGATTACGGGTTGGATTCTCGCGTGGTACATTTGTATTTATGAGTATGATTGTTTGTATCGATCTTAGGTTCTATGTATCTGTTTTTGCAGAAATATATATGTGTTTACAGAAAAAAAATATCTAAGTATTTATATCAGTTGTCCAATACCCATAATACAAGATCTAGTTTGACACTAGATGGCGCTGGTTGAAAGAACGTTATTTGACGGCCTCGGTGGTTTAGCGGTTTAGTACACCGTCTTACTTTCAATGGACACGGGTTCGATTCCTCGCAAGGCACTAACATTTGTATATATGAGTATGATTTTTAGTATCGGTCTGGGTATTTTGTTTATGTTATAGTTAGTTATAATAATAATAATAATGTTATGTTTGCGTGCCCTGACAGGGTCCATAATGATCTAGAACCAATTATAAACATCTTTCATTGTAACATTATGGAGTTCACTAAATATTGAGTATTGAGTATTAAATTTATAAAAGCAATACTAAAAAATATAAAAAAGAGTTACAAATATATATAACTAGCTTTTGCCCGCGACTTCGTTCGCGTTAATTTATCCCCTTAGGGTTGGAATTTATTAAAATCCTTTCTTAGGGGATACCTACGTTATAGTAGCTATATGCAAAGTCTCAGATCGATCGGTTTAAAATTGACAAAATTTCATACAAACTTTCATCCCCTTATTTATCCCCTTGGGGGTAGAATTAATCAAAATCCTTTCTGATGCCTACGTCATAACATCTACCTGCATGCCAAATTTCAGCTCTATCCGTCCAGTGGTTTGGGCTGTGCGTTGCTAGATCACTACGTCAGTCACCTTTGAGTTATATATATTTAGATTTTCGGTTTAATGAGTTTTTTTATTGTTACAGGAATTGTCACTATAGGTGTGGCGAAACCACTGCCGTGCAGTACCGTAGTGGGCGGCGAAAAGGCGAACGGCCACAGTACGCAAAGTAGTCAGGTATGATTATTTATATCACTATTATTACTTGTATAATATTATCATTATTAACCCTATCACTATTGTACCGATCACTATTATTGCGTTGTTATTTACGTGTTATAATATTTGATATATGTATTATCATTATTAATACTATCACTATTATACCGATCACTATTATTGCGTTGTTATTTACGTCTTTTATATGTGTTAAAATCTTTGATTTCATATTTCCTTTATTAGACATTGTAAAAACTCTTTTATTTAATCGTCGCCTTGCTGATCTATAAATACTATCTGTCTCTGTGTATTACCCGCGTAATATATATTTGTGTCATCAGAAGATTTACCCGCAAGAAATTTATAGCCTGTATTTTCTGATGTATAAGCTATATTCTGCTCTTATCACTACGACTGATTTAATCTTATTGTGTTTTTATATTTGACCCTAAATAAATTAGTGCTGGTTGGTAGTTTGTATTCACACGTTTCGATTTGTAAAATGTGAACTTACAAGGATTGTTTAAAAGAGCAACACACAAGTTTCTTGCTTATTCTTCTTGTGATGAGACAGCTTTCCGAATAAGCGGTAGATTTAAAAAAAAATGTTGACTATTCAAAAGTGCTTAAATTAAGTTTATTTGAATAAATGATTTTCTATTCTATTCTATTCTATTCTATTGCAGTGAAGTTTCATTAAAATCTGTTCAGTCGTTTTTGCGTGAAAGGGTAACAAATATCATTCCATGTTATACATCGATACTCTCAGACTTTAGTGTTTATAATATTAGTTTAGTAACATTTTATTCTATTATATAGACTGGAGCTAATTGGACTAATTAAAATTTAATTATTAATTCGCGTATAATAAAGTAATGGGTTTAGGATGTTGTTTGGGCTCCCTCGGTTCTGTAGCGCATCAGAGATGTTTGCAGCAGCGCGGATAGATGGTTTTGAAGCCATGCGGAATAGAACTGCATCACTGATGTGTAGAATTCAGGGGAGCGCAAACAGCCTCCTAAACACCATATCATATATGTCGGATTGTCCGCTCCAGAGACACTGGACATCGCTGCACTGCTGCGGACCCAGTGCTTCTGGACGTGGAAATAGGCATAAATATATGAATTGAATGAATAAAATTGTAATTTACTAATATAAGTTGTTTACTAATATAATATACATACATATTCGAAATAAATTAAATAAATAATAATTGACGACCTCGGTGGTCCAGCGGTCTAGTACACCGTTTTACGACCGATGGTCGCGGGTTCGATTCCTCGCACGGCTCAAACATTTGTATTCATGAGTATGATTGTTTGTATAGGTCTGGGTGTTTTCTATATATAATATGTATGTATTTACAAAAAAAAAATATCTATGTATTTGTATCAGTTATCTAGTACCCATAACACAAGCTTTAGCTAGCTTAACTTGGGTCTAGATGGCGCTGTGTGAATTTTCCTAAGATTATTATTATTAATATTATTAATATAAATATTATTATAATAATAATAATATTTCAGGACAATTCACACAGCGCCATCTAGTCCTAAGCTAAGCAGAGCTTGTGTTATGGGTATTAGACCACTGATATAAATACATGAATACATTTTTTTTGTAAATAAATACATATTATACATAGAAAACACCCAGACCGGTACAAACAGACATACTCATGAATACAAATGTTTGTACCGTGCGAGGAATCGAACCCACGATCATCGGATACTAAAGCGGTGTGCTAAACCACTAGACCACCGAGGCTGTCAATAAATAAATATATACAATATACAACAAAAAAAAGAAATCTAAACTGTAGTCAATAATCATAATCATTCGTAGTCTGGTCGCTGAACAGTCACTAGGCGTCAAAGCTATATCCGAACTCTAATGCCTGATGATGCCCCGTTCAGAGGCGAAACACGTGTCGCAATATGGGTGTAGACTCAATAACGGTCGGAATTTGATCACCAATAGAGAAGATGGTAACGCTTCCAGTAGCGGTGATCAGATTTCCACACTGAATATTTGTGGTCTCACACATGCTAATGGTAGCGGTAACAAAATAATATAAGTAATAAAATGGACATACGGAAAATAATATATAATTCGATAAAATATAATCATAATAGTCACTTCAAAATTAATATATTCGTTTTATTCATTATTATTATATTATAAAAAAGACGTCTATGAAAATAGACTTGAAATTAAAACACGTTACTGAATCTTTCACTAGTTAATGTAGATTTACAGGTTTTATATTAATTGTTTCATCATAGAGGTTCTCTACGCCTGCTTCCAGAAACATAAAAAAACAACTTATATCTAATCTGTGTGTTCATATCTGTAACCAATTCAATTATGGACACATACATGGACTTAACACAAACTTATAATTAGTGAAAAGATTTGGCGATATTGCCTTGAAGAATTTTTGAATTTCATGGAAATACTACTGAAGATTAGGCTGTATGGTCTCGTACCTTTGCCTATCCACTTATGAATAAAATATACCACTACCACTACTACCAATTAATCAGTAACCTACTCGTAATCCATCTTTTTTTATGAATAAAATATTTATTCATTTATTTCACTACTACCATATTATAAATACCTTATAGACTAACATACATATAATATAATATTTAAAAACCAATACATGTACAAATATAAAAAAGGTTTTTGAAGCCTCTATTTCTGAATAGAGGTTGTAAATGATAATGTTTTTGTAAAAAAAATCTAACTTAAAATTAATAATAATAATAATGGCCTCTGCTATGGACGATTTAAGGCGTGATGGTTCATGAACAGGTCTTTTTGTGGCTGTATGAACTGATACGAATTTCAAGAAGGGTATATTAAGGTTTCTTAAGGGTCGGCAACAGGCACGCGATACCCCTGGTGTATCAGGCGTTCATAGACTACGGTAACTATTTACCATCAGATGGGCCGTATGCTTGATTGCTACCATCGTAGTATAAAAAAAATACGAGAGTGGCCTACCACAGGCTCGACGAGAGAAATTGTTGGCAGTAGTCGGTACTGACCGCCCTTAAAATGATATGATAATAAAATGATATTATATGATTACACTAAGAATGACTGCGTAGCGGTTGCTAGGTTAATTATCGCATGCCTCCTACTTGTTACTGTGTATTTATTTAAAACTAGCTGTACCCGCGATTTCGTCCGCGTGGAATTTAACTTTATTTTTCTAAAATAAAAGTAGCCTAAACAACTAAAAATTATTTTGTTCGTCTTAATTTATTCGTTCCATTAGGTACTGATAGGTTCAAACTAATACATTTACATCCTGCATCATCCCTTATTTTATCGCCATGGGGGTTGAATTATCAAAATCCTATTATTTAAGCGAACGTCTTCATTATAGTAGCTCCAATCTTTAACTTCAGTTCAATCAGTCGAAAATCTATGAAGATTTATACAAACTTTCATCCCCTATTTTATCCCCTTTGCGGTGGATCAAAATCCTTTCTTAGGGGATGCCTACGTCTTAACATCTACCTGCATGCCAAATTTCAGCCCGATCCGTCCAGTGGTTTGGGCTGTGCGTTAATAGATCACTATGTCAGTCACCTTTGAGTTACATATATTTAGATATACCTTATACGACATAATATTAAAGTCTATTTTAGTTCTATTATAGCAAACAACTGACTATTTTTATTTACAACATATAGGTTTAAATATAATAATAATTTGACAGAAAATTTAAAATACCAACAGACACTCAATTTTATTAATATATACATATATATGTATGTATGGATTACATACGGTGGGGATATATTAATTTTTAATTGAATTATGAAATTGATAAACCGTAATAGACCTACATGAATAAAAATAAATCTCAAGTTATATAAATATATATATATATGAAAAATATTACGTTTCTCACGCCGTTTTCCTGATTACCACCTTCGTGGTAAAAAAAAATGCGAATAGCTCCCAACGTCACGCTTTATCATGGTTATACAATTATATGTAAATATTTTTGTTATTTAATAATAAATAAATTGATAATAATTATTATTTATATGTAAATAAATGAAATTCATTAAGTGTTGTGATATTGTACACTCAGGGGAAAGTTAAAGTAAGTTGAAACTTATATTATTAAAGCTTATTATTTACGCTTAGAGCAGTATTTGTACCTGTAATTAAAATTAATATATAGCATGCAATTTTTTTTATATTTCAAAATTTTCTTGTTTAATTAATATTTAACAATTTTCTTGTACAGTAAAGGGAATTGAATTACCGCTCTAAGATTTTTCGTAAATTATTATTCTTATTTTTTTTTAACGTAATAATTTTTTAAATTACGATACTTTATATTTCCCTTTAATGTACAATATTTGATTAGCATGCTTTTGGAATTACATGTTTTTTACATTACTTATATTATTAACCGGGTCTTAGCTCGGTTAATTTTATGGCAAACTAGCTGTACTCGCGACTTCGTCCGCGTGTAATTTAACAAAAATAACTTTTTTGTTAGAGAATTTTTCTAAAATAAAAATAGCCTAAGTTACTCCTTATTACATCAGCTACCTGCCAATAAAAGTCCCGTCAAAATCGGTGCAGCCATTTCAGAGATTAGCTGGAACAAACAGACAAACAAACAGATAAAAAATGTAAAAAATTGTAAATGTTATTTTTGTGTGTCTACCGTATTTATATTCATATCCATATAGTAAAAAATGGTTATTTCAATATTACAAACAGACACTCCAATATTATTTCTATGTATAGATAGAGGTATTTACCTCTCAGTCAGATCGTGACCACTGGTAAAGCAAGTTGAAACGTCGTGAGAGGTAAATACGTTTAATTGCCATAAAATTATTCGTGTTAAGACCCGGTTAATAATATAAACAATGTATATTAAACACGAAAGTTTAAAAATAAATATTACAAGTTTATTGACTGAGGTGTTTTTTTTTTACAGAAATTGGAGTACTTTACGAAGATTCTAAGGT